TTTTAAGCTGGTGTGGTGGGCATGAACAGCACCCTTAAACGTCTTGGCACCTGGGTATAGGACAGTGCCAGTAGTGATGAGAGGCGGCACCTGGCCTCCCCCTTACAGCTGATAACCGACAGCTACCCAGGGTTACGACTTAGTAAATCCTGCCCTGTTTTGTCAATCCTTGGTGTGTTCTTTGATGTGAGCAGGGTGGGATGGGTGGGCACAAGGTGGAGTGGGTGGGTGGGCAAGGTGGGTGGGGTGGTGGGCAGGTGGGTGGTCAAACCTCGCAGGGTGGGGTGGGTGGGGTGAGAGGAAGGTCAGATGAGGTTGGTGAGGGGCTATGAATGGGTGGATAGTGAGATAGAGGCCATCTTTGGGTGGGTGGGTGGGTGGGGATGGTGGGTGGGGGAGAGTGAGTGAATGGGAGATGTGGATGGTTAAGAGAGGTGGATGAGGAGACGTGGATGAATTAAATGGATGGATGACGGGAAGTGGATGATACTGAATAAGTGGATAGGATGAGACGACAGACCATTACTAGACAGGTGAGGAGAGGTAGGAACAATTAGTGGGTGTAGAGGAGAACTGGAGGGTGAGGCCCCCTTGACGACACACACACACATACACACGACCCAATCTAATCTACACACAGAGATAACGACCCCACCCACATACACACACACACACACACACATAACATTGTTCAGGTAAGACACAAAAATAATTAAAATTTCTCATTAGTAAACTCACCTGAGATATTGTTGTCTTCCATTCCTCTTCCTTATTTATCTATCCACTATATTGCAATAAAGATTCATTACATTGTGTCAGCTTCCGAGAAATGTTTATAGTTTGTTCGAGAGAGAGAGAGAGAGAGAGAGAGAGAGAGAAGTAATAAAATAAACCAGACCAAATATTAAGAGTGAGAAAATATCACATACTAATCAACGTTAATCCTCCCCACCTTCCCATAAACCAAAATTAATCCCACATTTATTCTAATCCCCATCACAGATAATCATGGTTTAGGTAGTAGGCAGCTACCAAACAGGGAGGTACTACCGCCTGGGAAGATATTGGAAGCATAATGTGTTGTCTAATGGTAGACCCTGCTGCCATATGTGACCAAGTCCCAGGTTGGTGATCTGACTTTCTGTCTCATTTACTGATAATACAAACCTGTACATATATTGTTTCTCATTTTTGATCTTTTTTAACTTTTGGATTTCTTTATGGTTCCTTATTATTATTATTATTATTATTATTATTATTATTATTATTATTATTATTATTATTATTATTATTATTATTTTCTATTTGATTTTCAATTTTGTATTTTGTATTATAAATTTTATTTACTATGAATTATTATTATTATTATTGTTATTGTATTATTATTGTTATTATTATTATTGTTGTTATTATTATTATTATATTATTATTATTATTATTAACATATTGCCCTAGCTGATGTGGGTCAGTGACCTGTGCCGGTGGCTAATCATAAAAAACAACTATGGCAGTACAGAAAAAATAACATTCTCATACTGTAAAAAATATTCATCAGTCAAGTCAGTAATGATGATGGTATTTAAATGAATAACCTGTGTTACAAATTAATGTGTGTGTATGTATGTATGTATGTATGTATGTATGTATGTATGTATGTATGTATGTATGTACAGTATGTATGTAATTATGTATGTAGGTCAAAGGAGATTGGCTATTAATTTTTTGGCATCAGGGATGAGAGGAGGGAGGAGTGGGGGAGGAGGGAGGGGGGAGGGGAGGGAGGGGGGAGGGGAGTGGGGGAGGGAGGGAGTGGGGGAGGGAGGGGGAGTGGGGAGGGAGTGGGGGAGGGAGGGGGGGGGGAGGAGGGAGGGGGGAGGAGGGGGGGAGGGAGGGGGAGGGGGGGGGGAGGGGGGGGAGGGGGGGGGGAGGGGAGGGGGAGGGGGAGGGAGGGAGGGGGAGGGAGGGGGGAGGAGGGGTGGGGGAGGGAGGGAGTGGGGGGGAGGGAGGGGGGAGGGAGGGGGAGGGGGGGAGGAGGGGGGGGGAAGGCAGGGAGGGAAGGAGGAAAGGAGAGGAGAGAGAATGGAAAAGGGAACAGATAAAAATGAAGGGAAGGCAAAAGGAGGACGTGTAGATGGAGGAAGAGGAAAGGAAGGAAGGAAATGGAGAGGAGGGAAGGCGGAGAAAAAGGAGGAGGAAACAGAGGGAAGGAATGGGAAAAGAGAAAGAAGGGGAAAAGAAAAGAAAGAGAGATAGACGAAGAAAAAAGAAGAAAGGCCTAATCAAAAGAACCGATTAAGCTAAACTGATAAATAGAAAAATAAAATCAAACCAAACAAGGAGAAGGAAGGAAGAGGAAAGAGAAGGAAGGATGAGGAAGGGGAGGAATGGGGAGGAAGGAATAGGAAGAAGGAACAAGGAAGCCATAATCAGGTGTACGAAACTTCTCTGTTGATATGAACTACGGATGGAAACTAGTGTTCAAACATAACACATATGGTAATCGGCAACTGTTTTCCCTGACGACTGAATTATAACACCAGGAGACGCTTTTGACAGCAACGCCTCTAGCGGACTGAAGAGGAAGTATTGAGGATTATTTATACGTATGATATATCAATTAAAGTGTATAAGCATTTATTCGCTGGGGTTATAGAAAGTATCAGGGGCGTTTTTGACTGACAGCAGGGTACAACACGAACATTATGTGGCATCGAGTGTAGGATGGGACACCAGCAGGAGAGGCCCTTTAAGAAGTGGACACACCTGGTCTCCATCAAACCCAGGAGTTAAAGGTGTGATGTGTTCGTAACCTAAGGAGCCAGATGTGCTGCTGCTGGTGACCTGTGCTCGAGTTTTTTAAGTTTAACAAATTTATTGATAAAGCTTGTAGTACAGTTTGCCTATTCTGAGTAATTCAGTCAGGTCTTGACACTGAGGGTGGTATCACTTCTCACTGCCACGCAGGACAGAGGTTCATATACATTGGACGTCTTATTCTAATTGAAGACTAATCAGTGTGGGCCAGCAGCAAATTTGGGATAAACAGCAAGAATGTCCTCAAGCACACCTGATTCAATGTAGTAATTACAAAGTTCATGATACAATAAGTCAGGTGGCCTGAAGTCTTTGACAGTGTCACATTCAATAATATAGTGTTCAAGTGTATGCTTTAAAGGTTTATCACAAAGTTTACATGCTGAGTGTTCCGGTATGGGTACAGCGTTACTAACTTGCCAGATGTGTCTGTATCCTAGCCTAATTCTGGCCACGACTACATCACATTGTCTGGTTCTGTCCTTATGCTGGCCATACCGGTACCTCTCGTCACAAAATTTGTCATATTTACTAATGCTACAACTGTCAGGTCTCTCTGCATTTCTCAGTTCTTCTAGATCAGAGTTCATGATTCTGACTTGAATGTTTTTAAGTACAGCATTGGACAGGCCAAGGTCACGGTCAACATTTTCTTTCTTACATGCCTCATTGGCCAGTCTATCAGCACGGTCATGATACCTAATTCCAACCTGGGACGGAACCCACACAAATTCAATACGAGAGTTGTTCTCATTGGCAGTTATCATATTTATTTTAATATTACATACACCTTCAGACATAGAACCTGACGGACTGTTCATTGATTTTAGAGCACTTTGAGAGTGGCAGACTATCACCCCACCTCCATTTTCTTTAAGGTAGTGTCGAGTGGGAGGACAGGAGGAGGAGGAGGAGGAAGAGGAGAGGGAGGAGGAGGAGAGGGAGGAAGTGGAGGTGGGGGAGGGGAGGAGTGGGAAGGAGAATAGGAAGAGGAGGAGGGTAGTAGTAGTAGTAGGGATGGAAAGGAGAATAAGGGGGAAGGGAGGGTAGGAGGAGGAGAAAGGAGGTAAAGTAAGGGGGATAGAAAAGAGGATAAAGAGGAGGAGAAATGTAGGAGGAGTAGGAAGAGGTGGTGAAGTAGGGGGGGTGGAAAGGAGATTAAGGAGGAGGAGGGTTATGAAGGACGGAGGAGGAGGGGGTGGTGAAGGAAGGAGTAATCATGGGTGGAGGAGGAGGTGAGGGAGAAGGTAATAATCGGTTGAAGAGAGGAGAGGAGAGGAGAAGAAGGTGACGATGAGTGAAGGAGGGGGGTGGGTGGGTGGCGGGGTTAAGTGGAAGACAAGGAGCTGGAGTGGAGATAGATAATTGATTGAAGTGGTAGAAGTGGAGAAGACAGAACAAACAAGAAGAGGAAAAAATAATAACAATACAATAAAATACTACTTCTACTACTAATAATAATAAACCTGTGAGTGTGTGTGTGTAGGTTACTGTACATTACACATCACCTGGGCTGGTTATGAACAGGTTCTAGAGGTGACCAATATCTTTTCTTCTACATACAAACACTTTTAAAATATCTAGTCTAAGTTTGCACGAAGGATAAATTTATACAAAATTATTTATCACAAGTTGTATAATGGGAAAGTAAAAGTAATAATAACTTATTTTGTGTTTTTTATTTATTTTTGGTTACTCAATTTCATGATTTTATTACATTTGCTGAAATCAAATAGTGTAAATCACAATCGGAGACATTTATTGAGATTTTTCTTCCTGATAATTTTCTTGAACTGGACCGTGGTGTCAACTTGGACTTTGTTAAGTTCATCAACAATGGTTTGGTGTAGACAACTGATGTCAAGGGCCATGTTGAGAGTTTGTTCCTGAATGAGACGCTGGACGGTGGCGTATCTTGGTCTTTCACTGGCCAGCTGAGAGGAGAGTATCATAGCCAGACAGAGGAAACTAGAGTTATCTGTCTCACGCAGACGGTCATCCTCTTCTGGGTCACCTGTCACCGGCGTGCTGTTGCCCACGCTGATGAGGTGAGCCTTGACTGTACCGTTGGTGGCGGTTTCTATCAGGACGTTACTGCCATGGATGTCGTTATGGACGAAACCGGCGTCGTGAAATTCCATTAAGGCCTCGAGGGCACGGGCAAAGGCTCGCAAGCAATTTATTGGCTAGTGGTTAAGCATATACCTGTCGAGCCCTTGGCCTGGGGTGATGTGGAGGAGGAGGGCGAAGGGAGAGTCGCTGGTCACGCCGTACACACGAGGGGCGCCTCCTGCTCCAGACAACTTCTTAAGTGTCTCGCATTCTGCCATTAACATTGCCTTGTTGTTCATGTGATCAGCTTCCTTGATGATGACGTCGTGAAAAGTGCTATTATCAAGGGCCACCTTGCCCTCGAAGACGTTGAAGGAACAACAATCGTCTACCTCAAGAACTTTGGTTACTTGAGACCAAGACACAGAGAGCAAGGGGGCCTCAACACGTTGCCTCTTGGCGCTGGAGAAACCTGGGTTATCACCAGAGGAAGCTGGCCGCTTGCCGCTGTATCCCTCGCGTGTGTAAGTCATCTTTACACTGAAAACACAACAACACCATTCTTACCAGAGACACCAACTCATTTTCTCAAATTGGCGGTGGTAAATACATAATGTGGTTGGAATATTGTAGCACTAGTGTTATAGTGAACCCACTAGTGTTGTAGTGAACACACTAGTGTTGTAGTGAACATGTAGTACCTCTGCTGTAGTGAACACACTAGTGTTGTAGTGAACACACTAGTGTTGTAGTGAACATGTAGTACCTCTGTTGTAGTGAACACACTAGTGTTGTAGTGAACACACTAGTGTTGTAGTGAACATGTAGTACCTCTGTTGTAGTGAACACACTAGTGTTGTAGTGAACACACTAGTGTTGTAGTGAACATGTAGTACCACTGTTGTAGTGAACATGTAGTACCACTGTTGTAGTGAACATGTAGTACCACTGTTGTAGTGAACATGTAGTACCACTGTTGTAGTGAACATGTAGTACCACTGTTGTAGTGAACATGTAGTACCACTGTTGTAGTGAACATGTAGTACCACTGTTGTAGTGAACATGTAGTACCACTGTTGTAGTGAACATGTAGTACCACTGTTGTAGTGAACATGTAGTACCACTGTTGTAGTGAACATGTAGTACCACTGTTGTAGTGAACATGTAGTACCACTGTTGTAGTGAACATGTAGTACCACTGTTGTAGTGAACATGTAGTACCACTGTTGTAGTGAACATGTAGTACCACTGTTGTAGTGAACATGTAGTACCACTGTTGTAGTGAACATGTAGTACCACTGTTGTAGTGAACATGTAGTACCACTGTTGTAGTGAACACGTAGTACCAGTGCTGAAGTGCACGGCTTTATACCTTCATTATGCAACATCGTATGAAACACTATGTTATAATTACTTCCGGCTAACAATTATGTATCGACTTAAAAGTAGGATGTTTTAACCATTGTTCACACACATGCAGCGTAACCAGTAATGTGTTTATCATCTGTTCACCAAAACCCCCCCAAAAAGGTCGAGAAAAATGATCAGCTGCCTTGGTCTGCTGCAATTAAGGTCAGACTTGCAACAATTCCAGTGACCTCTGCAAGATTTATTGCAGCCACAGTGAATGAGTTCATAACATGCTCTAAGTGCTTTAGGTAAGTTTGTCCACTTTGGCCTCCAACTATGATGGAAAATCTGGCCGAGTGACCATTTTGTGACCCCAGAGGTATACACTGCTGCCTTATGTGTTGTGTCGGTGGCCGGGGGATGTTTTCTGGGGTCGGTGCACCTGAGTGTCTGGCGGGCCTCACTGGCGAGAGTAGCAGCGGACGTCTTGGAATGCAATAGCATAATGAACCACTCAATTTGCTCGTAACTATCTATCATTATCCAGTGTGAGAAATTGACCAACACAAGAGTAACCTCAGGAAATACTGTCCAAATGTTCCAGGCAGTTTTCTTGACATTGACGGCAAACACTGTCCAAGTGTCGCATTCAGTTAACGCATCAAAGAAAGGTGAGGCAGAAGGTCTTTTAGGCGCCAATGGCTGAGTCAATAGTCAACACGAATCTGATAATGGTTACTGGCACCTAAAGCTGCCCATACATCACTCCATTAATATGTTGCATTTCCGATATTGCAACGACAACCACAGCTGTATCACTACTGTCCCGATTACCAGGATTTGACGGCCTTCACTGGCAGCGTGAGCGATGACTGTATGGCTCCTGGCTGGCGAGGGGATCACTGTCACATGTCTGTCCAGTAGGAACGTTTTCACCATAGTAGTGAACAGATCCTGGCTACCACCTTCAATGTTCAAAATGTTTTCTGTCAAATAGGCAGAAGAAGAAAAAAGTCACTATTCCTAAGAACTTTATCCCAATTTCTTAGAATTGTTGTTTTATCTGACGCTCTTCTTGGGATTCCTCACCGTCCCTTGAGACCGTCCCAAATAACCCTCCATTCATACTATGTTTTAACAGACTTAGGTTATTCTTATACGCCAGAATATATTTACTCATAAATAATACTAATTCATTTAAGCAAAATGATTATAAATGACTTAAAAAAATATCTGAGGTTTGTGGAAAGATTTTTTTTTAATTTAGGTCTGAAGTAATGAAGTTAGTGTGAGGAAATTAAATAAAAGGAGGAGAGAGAGAGAGAGAGAGAGAGAGAGAGAGAGAGAGAGAGAGAGAGAGAGAGAGAGAGAGAGAGAGAGAGAGAGAGATTACGTCCACCAATCAACCCTCACAACCGGGACTCTATCAAAAGCTCCCCTCCCTCTTTCCTCCCCCCACTCCTTTCCTCCCCCACTCCCCCACTCCTCCCTCCCCCCTCACAACACAAACAATAACTACGTCTCACATGACTCCTCACTAGCTCTATGCCTCGCCTCCTGCCCTCAGCCTCTCCTCCTCCTCTTGCCCCTCCTCAAGGTTTCGGCATAACTAGTCCCTCCTTCCAAACAGCCACCCCTCCCAACCACCCTCCCAACACCTCTCATCACCACTTACCCCCCAACCCCCTCCATCTCCACCTCCCCCCCACTCTTTCTTCAACCAGCACCTCCCTTCCTTCCTCTCCTCCTCCCAAAATCATCCCGCCAGCCACGCCCACGTCCTTCCCCTCCTCACCCTCCCTCTCTGTCCCCCACCCCCTTGCTTTCACCACCGCTCACGCCCACTCTTCACCTTGCCCAAACCCTTAAAGATGGCGCCATGCATTCTGCCTCAACCAGACCAACTTGAGATTTTTTTTCTCACCATAAGAGGAGGGTACCCTTGCCCTTCTCCCCTTGAGTGCCACTAAAGGGAGGAAAGGGGAGGAGATTAAACCTTGAAGTGACATATAGGTGAGTTATAAATGTATCAACATATATATATATAGTGTGTGTGTGTGTGTGTGTGTGTGTGTGTTAGGGTAATATGTGGTGGTAAGGGGGGGGGGTTGTATGAGGTAAGATATATACCGTATGTGGTGTAGCATATATGTGTGGAGTTTATATGTAGTGTAGTATATATGTAGTATAATACATATAATGGAGTAAATGCGTCTATATCTAGTTAAATATAGGTATTATTATAACATGTTGAGGTAATAACGTATCGACTAACATACTTACTGACACGCTTACTGACCTCTCTCCTATTCTTCCTCCTCCTATCTCTCTTCCTAATTCCTCCTTATCCCCCCCCCTTTCTCTCGTATCCTCCACCCTATTCCCTCCACCTTCTCATGTCTCTTTCCTATCTTCTCCTCTTTCTCTTCTCTCCTCTCTATCTGTCCCCTCTTTCTCTTTACTCTTCTTCCTATATTCTCGTTTCCTAGCTCTGCTCTCAACTCTCTTCTCTCTCTCTATCTCTCTCCTTTTCTCTTTCCCTCCCTCTCCATCTCCCCCCCTTTCTCTTTTCCTCCTTTTCTTTACCTCTCCATATATCTCCCCTCATTTATCTCCCCTCCCTCACTTCTCCCCTCCCCATCTCTCCCCTTATCTCCCATAGCCCCATTTAAACACCTGGTGCCTATCAGTCAAAAGTGTATTGATAGTTAAGGCGACGTTAAAACAACTTCCTGGGCCATATATCTTGTGTGTTTTTCTTCTATAGTGAGTTTGGTGTTTTTTTGTGTGTGTGTGTGTTTTCGAACTCACGACTACGAGCCATAAGAACTAAGACGTGTTGCCAAGTGTGTGTGTGTGTGTGTGTGTGTGTGTGTGTGTGTGTGTGTGTGTGTGTGTGTAGTTCTTCCTTCATCTGGTAACTAATGAGCCCAGCACAAGAGCCGCCCTTGTTGAGGGGTGAGAACATGGTGAAGGACTCCCGGGAGGACGAAGGAGGGGGAGGGAGGGAGGGGGTAAGTTCCTCACAAGGCAGAGAGAGGGCTTAAGGGCGCCTCTGTGACGTGGTCCTGGAGGGAGGGAGGGAGGGAGGGAGGGAGAATGCCTAGTCACTGTGGTGTGCTATGATGTCCTTGTTGCATCCGGTCGGTGTGTGACTATTACTACTACTACTACTACTACTACTATTACTACTACTACTACTACTACTTTTTTTTAATGACCTCCAGTCTCCCCCAATAGCCACACCTTCGCCGCCATTTTATTACCTTAAAATAATACATCAGTAGCTACCCTGGCAGATCTATGAGGCATTCAGCGACTGTTGCCTCATAGTCAATATGTGTGACTGTTGGCGGCTACTGCTTCTACTACTATTACTACTACCACCACTCCTCCTCTTATTACTATAATAATAACAACAACAACACTGCTGCAGTAACAACTGATATAAAGAAACATAACAACTTGAGTAACTCTATTTTGGTCTTGATATTGAGAGGACAAATATAAGTTAGGTTAGGTTAGGTTAGGTTCTCTCTCTCTCTCTCTCTCTCTCTCTCTCTCTCTCTCTCTCGCCAGCAGTAATATTCGGTGTGTCACTCATTGTAACATTTAATAGCTTCCAACGGTCTTTATTGACTCGCCTCTCTTGCCTCAAAAACATGGAGGTGGAGGGTGGAGAAAGGAGGTGGAGGAGGTGGAGAAGGAGGTGGAGGAGGTGGAGAAGGAGGTGGAGAAGGAGGTGGAGAAGGAGGTGGAGAAGGAGGTGGAGAGAAGGAGGTGGAGGAGAGAATGGAAGGTGAGGAGGAGAATGGAGGTGGAGGAGGAGGTGGAGGAGGAGAATGGAGGTGGAGGAGGAGAATGGAGGGTGGAGAGGAGAGTGGAAGTGGAGGTAAGAAATCTCTGTTGTATCCTTAACTTAATTTCTACAATATCGAGAGAAGAAAAAAAATAGATTAACAGTGAAGAATGTTAACAATTTTCTTAAGGGGCCTTCGTTAATTCGGCTCTCGTTAATTCGGCTCTCGTTAATTCGCCCTCGTTAATTCGGCCCTCGTTAATTCGGCCTCGTTAATTCGGCACTTTAATTGGCCCTCGTTAATTCGGCCCTCGTTAATTCGGCACTCGTTAACTCGGCATAAATCCCACCAATAAAATGACATCAAGCTTGGTTTTTACGTCAGAGAGGA